CCCCCCCCCCCCCCCCCCACACCCCCCCGCCCCGCCCCCCGCCACCCGGCCCCCCCGCCGGGCCCGACCGGCATCTGTGTTAATATTCGGCCAAACCCCCAAAACCGCTATTCGTTTTGTAAGCTACGGATTTTTTTTAGAGAGTAGACATTATAACTTTTTCAAAATTCATTTGGATTTGACAGTAGAAAATGTCATGCTTTGCTGTTTACTGATTCCATATTTATATAATTACCTTGCTTAATTAGTATAATTCAACCCGAGCTCGCACGGTTACGATATCTCGCTGCTGAGACAAATAGTAATTACAGTTTTCCCTCGATTATCAATATGTCCGCAATTAGTGCAATCCTGTCTTTACAAAGTTATAGAATTTACAAAAAAAGCGCTAAATTACTTTCTTCTTATTTCTGTAGCTTTTTGTTAATATTCTCAAATTCTGTAACTTTGCAAATAAATGTCGTGTAGAGCCGGGAGATGTCTCATTTTAATCAGAAATTTGGGGGCTACAATTGCGCCTCATTAAGAAATGTTCTGGTAATCATTTAGCGTTTCTGAAAAACTGGTTCTACAGAAAATTGAGTCTTCAGGAGCCATGAGGAAAAAATCAGAAATCTGCAGCTAGAACTTGGTTCTCCGCTTCAAGGCAGTTCGAATGCTGTTTGAAACAAGACTCCATCTCTTAAGGTAAGAGATTTGATGTATTTTTGATCGGAGGGTCACGTTTAGAGTTTATTTGGAAACGAATTTTATCCTGACGGCTTCGTGATGTACAAAAACTTCAAAATCACATTTCGATATGCATTTTGCAATGCGGATTCAGAAGAAAAACGTTTCAAAGCTCTGAAATGCAGTGAGAAAGACCAGCGTCGTTTTTCTCGAAGGGCGTTCATGTTAAGTGAACTTCAAAAAACAGATTTTTAGAGACCCCTTGCAGAATCGTATGTGAATCCTCCGAAAAAAGGTTTTCATGCATAAATAGTATTGGACCCATAGATTACAGCTGCATTATAGTTCTAGTACTTCATTATAGTACTTATGCTGCAAATACGAGCTCTTAATCAACTTCCTAGATCAAGATATAGACATCATAAACAAGTATCGTTTTAGGCTATTTTTACGGCTTTCACGAAAAGCTCTATAACTTTTTAACGAAGTAAGTCTGAACGAAAAAAAATTGGGAATCTTTCTGTATATGTTGCCTCTACCTACGGTAAATTCCTGAGCCAAAAATTCAAACATCGATTGAGCAACTGGTACGGAAAAAAGCTGCCCAATCGTGCAACGACCCTTAAGAACAGGCGGCACAATTTGATGTTGTTATTAACGATAAATGTGTACATTTTGTATTCTGAGAGCGTTCAACGAAGCGACATGTCTGTTATAATGAATAAGTGACAAAAGGGATGTCGAATATTAGTAACGCACACAGACACACACCCATTGAGAGAAAAATAAATAAAAAGTGCATACAATTTATCAGTAACGAGTGATTCAATATGTAGACTAACGAGTGAATATGAATGTATATATTCATTCATTTCAGACGAAATAGGCACTTATTGTTATATCTTACTCAACGTTTCAACGGAGTGAAGCAATTTGTCCGATAACAGTACTTCAATCCTCGGATAAAAACATGTTTATATGCAGAAGATGACTAGCTGTTTTGACAGTTCTTCACGAGACATGAGTAGCATATATCCATGATGTTCGTAAGCCCCGCTCCCTCGTAGTAGACGACTGCCATGGTCTTCTATTTGAACGAACAACTCAACTCGCTTTTTGACTAAAGATTGTTGGAAGAATATCTGGAAAAAATCGTCAGCAGTGGTCTTTTGTTATGGCGAGAGTAATACTTTTCTCCATAAATGAACCTAACCGTTAGTAGTTAGTTGATCTATGAATATTGCCCTGTTGAAAAGAAAAAATTGTTGTATTTTTTATTCGTCGCATTGTGTCAACATGTCTCTATCTATAAAACGAAATAAGCACTTTGAAAACGAATTGAGAAGCACGCATACGGATCAAGGGAAAGTTAATTTCATCTGCCAATGAACTCGAAACCTCTATCGATCACCTCAAGCAAATAATTACTCCATGTGGTTTGACTTTTCCAAGCGGTGCATGTATTATTGGGATTATTAAACCACCAGTTGTACAAGTACAACTGACTGTTGTTAATTTGCCTTTTTTCTGATGGTGTTTGTTTTCTCTGTTCTTGTGCGAGTTTATCACAAATTGGACAATAGAAAGGTGGTAGTTCTGATATGACAAAATAGTTTTCTTTCCATTTAAAATATGAATTGAATTTTGTTTCATTGGACGCAATTTCTTTGAGATATAACGACAATTCAAACGGTGAACTATAGTTTAATGCGTCGATATACGAATGAGGTGGCATTATCGAACTATAATTGGCACCACCAAATACAACTGGAATTAGATCGTAATCTAAAATTGCAAATAACTTTTCTGTTACATAATGACTACAAATTGAATTTTCAAAAGATAAATAAAATTTATAATTTTGTTCTAGTATTTTCCAACAATTCATATCATTTTTTGCACATTGGTACAAACCACATCTTCCATAAATGTCAACATCGATGAACGCTTTTAATTCGGCAACATAGTCTTCTCGTTTTCCCGCCGTTTTGCAATGGCTAACCATCCATGCAACTGACTTTTTTTTCTGTGTGAACTCGTATTTTGGTTTCCACTCGATCGAACTGTTTCGTTTTATAATTTTTCCATAGGCATCATAGATGTCTGAATCCGGTCTATAAGTATGAACCCAATCGAACAAGTAGCCACGTTGGTATAATGTCCATTTCCACCACCACGTCTGAGTCGGTGATTCCCAATTTAAAAGAACCCATTTTTGAGTTTGTCGTGACTGTGCAGTACGAATACTATTAGGCGGAATATCTCTCCCACTGAAATACCAAAGAAGAAACAAAATGACACTACTCTGACATAATTTGAGTCTATTCTTTGTAAGAATACATTTATTTGAATCACTGCAGTGAAGAGTAGTATCTTCTTCCGGGTAACTGGTATAAAATTGGGTCCACATCAGTATAATGGGAAGAGATTGATTTGATGACAAAGAATTCTGTGTCATGTCACATTTGTCGTCAAACTGAAATTTGGTAACGAATAACCATATTATTAAGAGCAAAATTGCTATTAAAACATGGTAAAAACGTTTTAATAACTTTAACATATTATGTCAGCGTAACGAAAATTAATGATGGTAATATAGAATCGAACAGACAAGACGAATAATAAAGTCAGATAAGATTACAAATATTATAAAGGATATTTCTATAGAATAGCACAGTAACCCAGTCGATCTAATTTATTACATAGATTTAGTCAATTCAATACTATATGTATTTAATCGAATATATGTTCAATTTTCATCAATTGAAAATATTTGTTGATTAATACTCATCATAAATTGTGCGAATTTCCTCATTACCATATTAAAAATATTGTAAATCATTATAAAACTTGGCAATAATACAGATAAGTCTAATTCGATACACACCGATTGAAAATGACGTGCATAGAGGATGAAAGTTAATAGTTGCCCGCCACCAGAGCAGAGATACATGAAAGGCGATCTCTCACAAGTGAAATGTCATGATTGAAGAGAGTGAGAATGAGATTATTTGGTTTAAACTTTAATATAGAAGAAACGGTAATCAAATCGGGCTGTGCCCATATCATGATACGGGAAAGAGAAAGAAACAACAACGAAAAGAACGAAAAAAATTATATAAGTAAAAAAAAAAGATAAAGTTTTAGATCAACTACTAACTAAATCTCGGTTCATTTATGGAGAAAAGTATTACTTTCTCCATAACAAAAGACCACTGCTGACGATTTTTTCCTCATATTCTTCCAATTTTAGTCAAAAAGCGAGTTGAGTTGCTCGTTCAAATAGGAGACCATGGCGGTCTACTACTATGAGGGAGCGGGGTTAGCTCATTATGGAAAAGTATTTATAGAAATTAGCTCATTGTGCTGATTTCAGACTACTAACGAGGGAACCTCTCGAGGTGATTAAAAGCTTTTAGACTCAGACTATTTCCATCATGTAGGGAATAGTCAGTAGTGAAAAACCCCAAGTTAGTTTGGGCCCATCCGCCTTTTTGACGGAGATATGAGTTAATTAATGAAAATGCCATTAATCAGAATTAATTAATAGCTCACGACCATGATCAGCTAGGAGTCAGAAATTTACACCACAGTTGAAGATAGATGTTATCTACTCACTGCGACACTTTTAGGCTTATAAACCAAAGCTTTTGCAAGATATGAATTTTTTATGATTTAGACAGTTTTTAGTGAAAATTCACCATTGAAAACCTAAAAACTTGTTATCACCTTTTAGATACCTCTATCGACTCAGGAAAGACTTATTTCATTTAGATATAGGTCC